AAACATAGCACCAGGATGATCACGGCCCAGCTGGGATCTGTCGCGGATGAGCCGAAGAGGGGTCTATTTGCCCAGAGCCATGGAGCACTTGAGTGCCAGATTGGACTTGCGTGACGGAGAGGTCATGACCTCTGGAGCGATCTGTGCTGTGCGGGTTGTGCCCAGAGTAGGCAGCATGGTGGATGCCTGAGGCCAAGTGGGTCGGTTGGCTAGCTCGGATGGATCCAGCGGGGAGGTTCATCGGGTGGCCAGAGTTGTTACCGCCACTTGATGAAGAGGTATTGTGATTCATTTCTCAATGCAGCTAAACCGAAATGCAAACATAAAAGTATCAATCACAACCATCTTGTCAGCTGTATTTTGTTATAGAGCTGGAATTCCAGCCATGATGACATACACAGCCAAATGGGATGAAATCTGGGAATTGATAATCACACTCCACCCCCCTTTGCACACACACTCCAACACTGCCTTCTCTGAAGGGAGTGTGGGACCGCACTCCAATTGAAATTGGAGTGCGGGTCCACACTCCAACGATCTGCAGGGGCAGTCCCCCAGCAGGTTGGAGTTGCACACCAATGTATAAGCAAGGCGGGCTTGCTTACCTCGCTTGCAGGCTGGCATGCAGCCTTGCACCCCAACCTGCAAACCTAATCCCATAGGAATATGGGTTTAGGTTGCGCCATATCCCATAGGACCCAGGGATGAGTCCTATGGAGAAAACTACCCAGGCTTTGAACCATGAACAGACATCATTCCAAGGTTTGAAGCCTGAAGGCCATCATCCGGAGTCTTGCGCCATCGTACCTGTGTGCGACAGAGAAGTTCAAATCTGATAACGGGGTCTTACACACATCTTCTGTGCACTCAAACAAATTGGCCCCTGGGCAAGATCTGGCAGCCTCCTTCAATGATTTTGGATCACTTAGGTTTGCGGTGTCTGGGGGGATTGTCTTGGACAATCAGACGGGTGGTACACGGCCAATTGGGACCTCAGTGATGTCGGTTTTTAACGATAACCCCTCGGTTCAGAAGTCAATGGGATACAACCACCTGGCGTGTCACCCAGATGACAGAAACAACTACCCTAGGAAGGCACGCGGACGTGTGGGGGAGAAGATGGTCTCAGTCCCACCAGAAGCCCTCTTGGAAGCACACCCAAGCGCTGTTGTCAAACAAGTTGGAAGGGTAGATGTGAGCAAGCATGATTGTGTGGGAAGTGGGTCATTTGTGGAGGTGAGTTTGCCCCAAATTAATCTGCAGGTTTCCTGTTTGGCTAACCAATCCCCTGGATATGTCATTCAGGTTGGCAAGAGCCCCATGGGGGAGTTGGTGGTTGGGCATGTGGATTCTTTGTGGGAGGTCTCAGCAAATGGAAGCACCCCGGGGTTCTTTGCCTCAATGAATGTTTGTATATCAAGGGGGGTTGATGACTGGTATCAAATGAGAAAACTGCGGCAGTCAACTCGAAAATCCTTGGTGAATGTTAAAGTAAGATCCTATCATTGCCCAACCGGCTGAAAATGTGAGGACAAGAGCTTACTGACCGGGGAATTTTACATGGACAGTTTATCCTTGGATGCATAAATGTTCAACATAATTGCCACAGAGGCGAATGCCCCATTGAGCTGACCAAGGAGGAGGACATGGAGCGGCAGCGTACAGGGCGCAAGGGATGGCAGGTTGAGCAATCAGACCAAGAACACTACATCATCAACAGTGGAGCCCTCAGGAATGCCGTGCTCCATCAAAGAATATCAGGACTGCCTATGGATCTCCCAGACAGACACAAATGGACTGAAGCGATCGATCTTGGGCTTGGCATCTGGAATATAGGTTTGGATCCTATTCAGTCTGATGACAAGCACTTTGATGAATATCAGCCAGGGAGTGAAGATGACGCCGAGGGGGAGACGGATTCGGAGTTCGCCAGATCATCAAATAGTTCTGGGTCTGATAATGATGAGGATGTGGATGGCGAGGAGGACGCCGATGGCGAGACAGATTCCGAGTATGATGGAGAAGCTGATGATGAGGTGTAGCTGGGCCCTGGTCCTTGCCGGGATGCAATTGTCCGTCATGAAACTATCCATGTGTAATTGATACCCATAAGTGTCACAGGAATTCCCTCTTACACCATTGAGGTCAGCTCATGCCTTAGTCAGGTGAATATGCACATTTGATTATGCCTACGCAGACATCCTTTTTCCCAATGAATGAAAAAAATTTCTTTGTGCAATAAAATTTGTTTCACGGGCTGGTCTTGATTTTCCAACCCTTCTTACAGCCTGGCTAAAAACTTTTGCTTTTTGTGTCAACCAATGCATGCATGGTTTCTCTTGCTGTCTCATTCCATCAACTGTGGCTCTCATGCTCATCATCCACCTGAATGTGGGGCACAGCCCAACCAGAAAGGACAGAAAATCAGCCATGTGTCCAATTATCCCAGGCTCAAACATTCACCATGCTCATTGAGGCACCAGATGAATTTGGTTGCCCTTTGGGTCAAGTGTCACTAATTGAGGATAGGGCAATCAATATAATTGGGACAATTATCAGAGGAGACATGCACATGACTGAGTGATTATTCCAGTTGGGCATGAGCGTGAACCCACTTCCACAAGTATTCTCTCCCCACAGGGGGGGTGTCCAAAGTGACCAATGATGGATTTGATACAATAGCCCTGGCCCAACCATGGATCACCGCCACAGACATCCTGATGAACTTCTGCCCCCCAGGGGCCCATTTGACCTTCAGCTTGATATGCCCGGAATTTCCATCCAGGTGGGTTGCCTCTGTATGCAACCGGCGCTCGAGTTTGGCAATCAGGTTGTTCCTGTGCGGGCAATGGCAAATATGCATTGCCTGGACAATTGAGATTGTATTTATTAGCTGCTTGTCAGCAACACAAAGCCCAACGGGCTCCGCAATGGGGGAGGGCAGGAGGAAATCACAACACACCTTGCAAAATGCATCGCTGACCGCCGTGCGCCCGTAAGGGGGGTCCAAATTCTGGGAGGTCTGGGATTGTCCCTTCCCACAACAGGTCACGGTACCGGTTGTTAGTTCTGAGCTCGTCGGCCACCTCTGAGTCATAACTTCCTATCGCCTCCAGAACATTGCGTCGGATCTGATCCCAGGTTGATGCCCGTGGGTCTCCACGCCATTTCACGAGCCGGGAAGGGTGCCCGTTTCGGTCCATGTGTGAACACCATGTGCAGCCCGGTACTGCTGGCACCCGTCTTGGTCAGCCTGGGGCAAAGGAATCCAGCAGTGATATTCCAGGATGATAGCCACGGACCGCGGAGTCGGCACCTCCGGTGGTACTGAAGCACCTGGCCCCTTGTCTTCGGACGCAGTGGTTGTGCACGGCCATTTGGCGAGCTCTGGGTAAAACTCCTGCAGCTCTGCCTCGCTTAAAGTGTCCCCCATGAGGGGTGGTATCTCGATATCTTCCACTTCCTCCAGGCGTGTTTGTCCACGTGTGTCCGCATCCTCGTGCATTGTCAATGTGCGGTTGGCCATAAATCCTTTGGCCAGTCGAGTCCACCTGAAGGGTTATAAAATTCCAGGCCAATGTTATGCGCCTTCCCGCAGAATATCAATACATTGATTTTGAGGACTCACCTGCAAACACAAGGCCGGAGAAATTCCGTGCTGGAGCACACTGCTGAACGGTGTTCTTGGCCAACCAATCTGACCAAGGAGCCCACGAGCCTGCTCAAACCCCGCCGTTCGTCGCAACGGCAACTGTTCAGACGCCATGGGGACGGGCAGTGTGGGCCGACCCCACGGCGTCTGAACAGTGTATTTCCTCCCTTTTGGGCAACATTCTTCCTGAAAGGGCAGCTGTGTTCCCATTTTGGCAAAGTGCCTCCCAAAATGGACATGAAACATCAGCACAACCACGTCCTGGCCGAGCTCAAGAAAATTTTTGCCACTTGGTCACAGGCGACTCTCGACAACAGTTACATCTCGCCGGCGGCTGCCTACAAAACCCCCCCTCTTGGCGCGCCCTCCAGACGCAAACACTTGCCACCCAGTCCATTCCTGACTTCCTCAATCCTAGACAGGACTTTCTAGGATGGTTTTCCTCCCGCCAGCTACTAATCAGACCACCCCCAGTGACCCAGCTGGCCCCAACAGTACCAGGACTACTCCAGCCTCATTGACCCCTGGATATCTCCGCCGACGTTGTGGAACTACTCAACCAGGGAGATAGAGCTTGGAGGGGATATAGACAACTACACTAGTACTAATGTAAGTTGAGACTACAGGTGCTGATGAGGCTGCCCTCCTGTACAATGCTAATGGGTAGAGTGTAACACTAAGAAAAAGAAGAATAGAGGTGTGGCTGATTTCTACTTTATCTTAGACTGCTATTACTGATGAGCTTGTGTATGTAGTACCTACAGAGGTGTGAGGAGGAGGAGAAATGAGGTGTGAGGGGATAATGCTGGCAAGGGTGTAAAACTGGCAATGAGGAATGACACTGGAAAAGGGGAATAATCTGGCAAATGAGGATTTATAACTGGCAAAGGGGGATGTATAACAGGCAAATATAACTGGCAATGATATCTGGTAAGGATATAAGGGTGATACTAGTGTTTCTGATTTCTAAGACTATGGTTAGAAGATAATTCAGGCAAGGTACATAGCATAAGGGGGAAAATACATGAGGAGGAAGAAGGAGTATATAAGTGTACAACATGTACATACAACAGTAAAGCACCATGGCTGGGGAAATCCTGGCTATGGGTAATGTAAGTCTTGAACAGTAATAAGTGATGAGAAATAATTTAGCTAAGTGACAGATGCTCTGTGTATACAAGTGTTAATCAGGTATGGAAAGTCAAAGCAGTGTGAAAGGAAATATGTACATGATGTAATGTAGTTAAGGTTATCCTGATTGATGTATGTAATTATGGTTGTGCTGAATATGTAGTGTAGTATGTAGTAATGGTGATGTACCATGATGAATGAGTGATTCTACATAGAGACTGTAACTATATAATGTGTAATGTATATGTACTGTATGTATAAAGTAATGTACTGTTCTGTAACTCTGAATATACTGAGGGGATGATAACTAGAGAACTACAAGAGATACTGAAAAGCTGTAAGAGGTGACTAGGGGTGAAATAATGTGTAGAATCTGAATATGAAAGAATACTGGGAAGAATATATGTAGAAATAATGTGAAAAATGAGAATACATGGAAAGGTATGGACATACCACAACGTTCGCCATCTGACACAGGTAAGCCCACCTTCTTCCCCAGCTCCACACACACAACACTCACAACCCAACCTGCTATGCTTCATCATCACAGACGATGAGCCCAGCCGGCGCCAACGGGCACGCACCGACCACTGCCGGCGCCAACAGGCACGCACCGACCAGCGCCGGCGCCAACAGGCACGCACCGACCAGCGCCGGCGCCAACAGGCACGCACCGACCAGCGCCGGCGCCAACAGGCACGCACCGACCACCAAGCCAGCAAATTGGTCAACCCCTTCCTTGACATTGACCGACCCGCATCGGATGAAGAGCTACCCGCCCCGGAAACCCTTGATGGGACCCGCCCCCCAGCCAAACTCTTGACCGTTGCGCTCGGCGCCCAGGTGCTCACCAGCGGCCAACTTGACATGTTAGCGGAGTTCAGTCACAATGTCTTCACCTCCCCACTTGTGAACCAGCGACTAAAACCCAGAACATGATCAATAGATACCCCAACCCGAGCACACAACCATCATCCTCTCCACCCTTGCCGCTGTCCTTAAGAGACTCAACACCTTGACCCAGAAACAATCACCGCAGAATCCCCTTGAGCTGCCGACCGCTGCCAATCTCTCATTGGCCAAACAGATCCGCATATTCCAGTTCTCCCCAGAAGCCAAGGTCAGCCCCTATATTCCTTTTCCCCCTCCCCGAACGACCCCAGTGCTCCCCTATTGACCCCCTTTGGACCCCTCATCCACTCAGGAATCCTCCGCCAGCAGGCCCGTGAGTGGATGTTGCAACCGGACTTCAAGGCCTACACGGAGAATACCCGCAACTGCAGGCTTTTCCGGCATGGTACTAGTAGAGCTCCCACTACCCCATTCAACATTACTCACCAGCGCTCACCCGGTTCTCCCAACCCCACCCGCAGTCTGCCATCAATAGCCCAACCAGCCACCTACCTTCGGGCTCAGTTCCCCCCCTGCTTTACCGAGTTGAAGCGGCAACTCAAGAACGTCTGCCACCAGCTCCAAAACCTCCCTGCTCACCGGTGTTCTTGCATCGAGCGCCAAAGGTCCCACCAATCCCGAACCTCACCAAGCTGGCACAAGAGTTCTGGCGCTTCCTCATGGGCATGGTGACCAGGCTATCAAATCAAGAAGTTGACAGCCGGGTGTTGCCTCTGTTGAATATCCGAATTGCTTACTTGCAACTCACGACCATGGAGAATCACTTGGACCCCATGGCCAGGAATATATCACAATGAGACCAAATTGATTCCCAACTCCAGGCGAATCGCAAGCAAACCGTCAATTTCACCAACTTGTCAGTAGACATCCCTCGTTTGAGCCTCCCCCCCCCCCCCAATCATGTACATACTGACTTCCTCTCCGCTTCAACCCAGCTGGCATCAAATGATCTGCCTGAAGGATGAGGAGTTGTTCTTGACCTTGCCCGCCTTAGCCGATGTGGACACCTCGCTGTGCAAGTGTCCCACCAACCGCAAAGTCCTCAATCGCATGGCCTCATTAGGTGAGGCCTGAGCAACACTAAGTTAAGCCTGCTATCTTTTCAGATAGCACATACGAGTAGTTCAGTTACCCCTCAATAGCCCTATTGGGCATGCCTTGGCTGCTGGCCCATTTGTTACCCCCCCCCCATGTTCCCAGGTGCAATAAATTCCACATTGCCAATTCCCCCAAATGAGCCCTTCCCAGTGACATCCCAACTAGAGGTCTCCACTCTAGCCGGCCCCACTGATCAGCAGCCCTTGCGGACAGGTGCCCTCACGTGTCCCTGGGCCGCTGTCAGTCCATCCTCTGAGATGAGCTCACCGGCAAGCTGCCGCCATCGGTATCTCGCCCGCCGGCCTGGCCCCAAGGCACCGCGCCTGCGCCCTCCCACCCATCACGATGACCCCTTCCAGGCCATCCGACGAGGCCCTTCCTTTTTCCACACACCAATCCCACAAGCCATTGAACGGCGTCCCCCGCACAACCTTCTTGCACCCCGACCCGCCCCACTATGCCCTCATACTGGCGACTGCATCCTACGGAAGCTCACAAGGGACACAAATCGTGCCACCCTGACTGATCCCCCCTGAACTCGCTCATGCAACCAAGGGATTTTTTTTTTCTTGTACATAAACTCATGCAACCGAGGGATTTTTTTTTCTTGTACATAAACTTTATTTTTTTTTCTCACCTTCTCATATGCACAGGTAAACTTGTAAATAAATTTCTCTCACTTATGCCATGTATGTACATATGTAAACTTGAAAAAAATTCCTCTAACAGGTGCAAGGACTACATGTACATGTGTGCAAGTCATGTAAATAATAAGTAATGTAGGGAAATAAAAGCCTTTTATTCGATTTCTCCACTGCTCCTTATTAAAAATTCAGAGAAACATATTTTGTTCTACCACTTTCGACATCTCATTTTCATTATCAGTACTAACATCACACTTTTATTACATTAGTAATCTCCTGAAATCCCAAAAAAATGAGTGATAACTCTTCTTTTGATGCTGAAACCTCCAGCATCAATAATTCAGATGAAGAAATCTCCTCAACAGAGGTATCTTCTGATGAGCAGGCTTCCAGCAAACAATCTTTCAATACCTCTAGGTCTAGTCACTCCGAAACCCAATCAAATCAATCAGTTGAGGAATATTCTTCCACCTCAGACCAAGATGAGGACGATGAAACGGCTTCCAATAATGAAGAAAGTTCTGTAACAGATAGAGAAGAGATCTTCACCTCCGATGATTGTTCAGAAAACTCTGGTCCAGATGATCCACCATACTCGTTTAACTCTGATACCCAATCCGACTCATCCAAAAGTGATTCAGCTCCTCCTGATACTAGCGAACAACACCAAAAAAATATAGTTCAAAATCTACTCTCAACTGGCTACAAAGGTCCACATATCTTAAAAATTCTTTGGGATGAACATGGAATACAGATGTCTGCTAGAACTCTCAGCTGAAAACAAAAAGAATGGGGACTCCGATTATGCGATCTTGAACAAGCACCACCTCCCACGCCACTATCCCCCAAGATTTGAGCCTCACTAGTTTCCTCACACTCCAAAGGAATGAATCCAAACAAGATTCAGGCACGGCTAGCTAACGAGACAAGTGTCAATGTATCCATCCGTACCATCAAGCGCTACTTAAAACAGCTTAACTTGAAACTTCTTCGAAACGATGTAACTCATGGTAAAGTTTCTATTCAGCAAGTATATGACGCTATCCACGATGCTCAAACTAGAAGGCTACAAAGCAATGCTGGCTATCGAAGGATGAGAATGATCCTCATGAGGGAATATGATATTCAAATCCCACAGTAAGTATCCTTGTCCTGGTCTTACAAAAATAAACTACAGAATAACCTATTACCTTTCAATTCCAGACGGTTAGTCTACGATGTTCTCAGGGAAATCGATCCAGAGGATATGGCCGCTCGACTACGAGGTGTATGCAAACGTCAAACATATCAAACAAATGGACCCAACCACATCTGGTCCAGTGATGGACATGATAAGTTGAAGCGCTTTGGACTTACCATATACGGATATGTCAATGCCTGGTCAAGAAAAATTCTTGGGATGTTTGTTCATGTAACAAACAACGACCCTCGCCACATTGCGGTGCACTTCCTTCAACTTGCATCTGAGGCTGGTGGAATCCCACTCCTACTCACAACCGACTGTGGTACCGAAACTCATGTTAAAATGGCTAGGTGTATGATGGAATTAACATATACTCACATGGAAATCTCACTCGAAGATGCAGCAAAGCGAATGCATTACACCAAGTCAACACATAATCAAAAAATTGAATCCCTTTGGTCTCAGATGATGAAGCAGCACAACCGTGCAATCAAACACAATATTCTAAGTCACATTGAAGATGGGAGTTATGATGACCAAGATGATGTTCAAAAGTGAGTATAATGAAACTCTTTGTTTGTTTTGATTATTACTAACTTGCCTGCTTCAGACTCTTGTTTTTATTTCTGTGGGTTCCTGTACTCCAAGCAAGTGTTGATAGCTGGGTTGATACGTATAACAACTACCAAAAGCGACGGGATCATCTCACCACACTTCCAACCGGTGTAAGCTCGGAGTTTGCATATAGCACCCCTGAATATTTTGGAACCACCAATCAACTCCTCAAGATGCCTTCCTCCGATATCAACTTGATGTTACAGACAGACTACCCAAATCTCAATTTGTTATTTGCTCATACTCCTCTTGACTTTCATGAAGTGGCAATCGAAGTCATGGGGAATCTTGTTTGTGATTTTTCTCAAATTAATACAGGAAATGTATGGTTTGTTTTTCATGAAATGCTCCCCCATGTTGTTGCCCAATATATCCCACCAACCGCCTCATCCAGTGAATATGAATCCCATCTTTCCAACAAATCTGGATCACACATTTCCAATATTTCTGAATCTTACATCAGTACTTCTTGTAACCACTCATCATCTGGATATGAAATTCCTTAATTAGTAGATGCATTTCAAAGTCCACAAATAATTTCATCTTCCAACCTTGTTATGAATCACCCCAGTTCTTATTCTTTTTTTGTAAGTTTGAAGTGAATAAATGATCATCCTCATTCATAACCAAGGTTCCTCTAGTGTGAGGTGAGACTATTCTTGCTTTTTTTCTGAGGTAGAGTGGAGTACACTTGTCCAATTTCCAACCATGGAGTACCCTCCAGTACGTTTCACAACTCTTTTCACTACCTACTAGGAGATTTTCAAATTCAACTGACTAATTTACAACTAAACCGTTCAGCATCCAAGCTCCTTTGGCTTTCAGGGATTGTCAACCAATTGTACACTTCAAGCAATTACACCACTCCAACCGGATTCACAATCATGCAGTTAGAAATTCAAATTAAAACTATTTTCAAATCCTCTGTCATCATGCTTGGATCCCTGCAGAGGTGAGTATCAACCTGATTCATCCTCAAAAATTTTCAGCTGACCAGCTTCATTATCCAATAACCAGATCATCAATCACCAGGTGGTACTTGGACCATAGCTTGTTCTTTTTTGACCATCAACTCAACCGGATTCTCAAATATCAGTCTGTCCCTTGACTATCCAAACATTCTACAATTGTCAGTCACTTCACCCAATCATCTATAATCAGTAATCCCCTCATCTGCTCTCACTGAATATTTTGACCATTGAGGATTCCTAGGATCAACTTGAAAAAACATTGGGGAAATCAATTTGTGAGTCCCCCCCCCTGAAAACTTCATCTTCAGTTTGCCAAGTGGGCACCAAATCTACTTGTGCTTTTGGGCTGATATCACCCCTTCTGTCAGCCCAAGCGCCTGATTCAGAACAACGAGGTCAATTGCTTGGATTCACTTGGATTTCGAGGATCTCATCTCTTTGTGAGTCCCCCCCTGAAAACTTCATCATCGGTGCCCACTTGGCAAAGCGAAGTGGGCACCGACTATCTTTTTGCTGTTGGGCTGATATCGCACCATCTGTCAGCCCAACAGGTCCCGAACCCACAAGAACGACATTGCTCGCTAGGAACCAACTCAAAAGCAATATCGCTTGTGATTCCCCCCCTCAAAACATCCTATCAGGTGCCCACCTGGCTTTGCCAAGTGGGTACCGACTTGAATTGCTGCTGTTGGGCTGATTCACCACCTTCAGTCAGCCCAACATCTCCTGAACCCGCACGTACAACCAGGTCGCTTGCTACGAAGCGACTCAAAAGCAATATTGCTTGTGAGTCCCCCCCCCCCTCATAAGATCCTATCACACTGACTTGAATTGATACTGTTGGGCTGATTCAACATATTCTGTCACCCCAACAGGTCCTGAACCTGCGCAAACGACAAGGTCGCTCGATAGGAAGCGACTCACTGAAAAGCGCTCATTGATATCATTTAATTGCAGGACCCACCGCCGACAACAGCGAGTCCCCCCCCCCCTTATCATCTGCCCACTTGGCAGCCATGTGGCTGCCAAGTGGCCAAGCATTTCTTTCTATTGGTTGGGCTGACCGTCATCACTTCGGTCAGCCCCAAGCAAACGATTCTACGCCGGGACCCACCGCCGACGACGGTGAGTGCCCCCCCCCCTTTTCATCTGCCCACTTGGCAGCCCATGTAGCTGCCAAGTGGGCACCACAGGTTTTTCAATGATCAGGGCTGACCGTATTCACTTCAGTCAGCCCCAAGAAGACGAATCAACGGAACCAATCAACAAAGGACCCACCGCCAATGACGGTGAGCCCCCCCCCCTTCTCACTTGCCCACTTGGCAGCCATGTGGCTGCCAAGTTGGCACGGCAAGTTTTTCAATGATCAGGGGCTGACCATCATCACTTTCGGTCATCTCCGAGCAAACAATTCATCGCAGGGACCCACCCGCCGACAACGGTGAGTCCCCCCCCCCCTCTCATCTGCCCACTTGGCAGCCCAGTCGCTGCCCAGTGGGCACGGGCAAGTTTTTCAATGATCAAGGCTGAACCGTCATCACTTTTGGTCAGCCCCCAGCAAACGATTCATTGCAGCATCAACGGTCGACAACGGTGTCAGCCACAGAGCACATTTCACAGTACGTGAAATGTACCTAGTAACTGCAATAATAATAATTAATTGAATACTGGAAAATAGTATACATTGTTGTTAGAATAATAAATAAATAAATATGTATTTACATTTAATCTTAATTCATAATTTATATTTAATAATTCTATAATTAACTGTGAAATCCCCTTGAGTATTGTACATATAATATCACTAGGATTTCACAGAAATATCATTAGAATAAAGTATTAAAACAATGTTTATTCTTATACATTATGTACATATTTTATAAGCCATAAATAATTACATATGTATAAAGAATCAGCTAGTAGAAGCGTGAAATGGATGAGGAATAAGCTATATACATTTATCTGAAGCTTACCCATCCTTGATCACATCATCAGGGCATCAGATTGCATCATAACCCTCTTGGATGGCGTCATCAGGACCCTTTTGTGCTCTAATTCAAAGCTTGCATAATTCAAAGCAGCCTACACGGGAAAGGAGCCCAAATTCTACATGCAAGACTGAATTATGCATGAAGGACATGCATTTCTCATGATCACAAGCTTGCATAAGCAGAGTTACACGTATGCAAACAACTCTACAATTGCACAGCCCCTGCACAGTAAATGTAGCCCTTTAAATTACGTGAGAAATAGGCCACAAAACTCAATTATGCATGTATGATCTCATGTCCTAGGACCTTCCACCCATGCATAGCACTGCACAGCTACAGCTCCCATCCTTACACGAAACTGTAGAGCTGCTAAGAAGCTCCCCAGTGCCCTGAGGCCCTCCCCTCTTCCCCTGAGCCCCCTGTAGAATATTTAAGGAGCTCAGATTCCTACCTTTTCCCCCCAGGAAATTCTAGTAGCATCAAACCAACTCGTGTACCGTGATTATTAGTGATTCAAACCACCAATAACCCTACAACTTAGCTACCTTAGACCTAAATAGATTTACTTTGCTCAGATTCAAGGCATATCTACTTATCTCTATGCATAAAGAATTATCCCCCAGGTTAACAATTCTGGTCCTTAAGTGTTGATACACTTATTAATCTAGATTGTTGTTAAAAGACTAATCCCAAGTGAGTTGAAGAAGTCCTCATCTTGGAAGCCTATTAATCCATACAAGAGGATTGATCTGGATGCCCAATTAAATAATTGGATGAGTCAGCAGTAGAAGTACCATTCCTCACTGACTCCTCCCTGTTTCTTTTACAGGTTGAGGGATTTAACCACGAATAAACCTTCCCACTTACCATACTTGTTAACACTCAGAGCACAACCCTTACAGGTTAGTAGCATAGAGGCTGACAATTGGGGGTCTGGCCTCATTTTACTCGTGATTTTTTCACCCATTACCATTAAAAAATCATACTTACTAACACCATTCTATTTTATTTTATTCATCATGGCCTGCTAAAAGGTAAATGCAGGATATTAATATTTATTTCAAGAACATAGATCCTTCCCTCCTGGCTGAAACCAGAAGATATTACACGGATCATCCTGAAAACATTACTGTAGAACAAGAGCTTAGAAAAGTAGTTAAAAGAGTTTATAGAGATACTCACTGGATTTGTACCACTACTACTACTAGTGCAGTTCTATCCAGTGCTATTTACGCGCCAGACAACACTGTTATCTCTTACACAGACTATTTAGAAGAAGTAAAATCTGTCATATCTGAATACTACAGAAACCCTTCCTCTTTTAATCTCCCTCCTGACGTACCCCCTTTTAATTTCCTCGAGTCTGAATTGATAGAAGACACTACTACATACACTACTATTCCTGATTTTGGCTTTGGCAACCCGCACTACGCTTTAGACTTATCAGACTGAATTTTTTCTTACTTCTTTACATATCTCTCATTACTTCTCACCTCAATAGCGTAAAACATCTCTAAAAACACAAAAAATAACTGTTTTTTAACGCTACACATTTGTTTCACTCTATTTTTTCAAAATTTTTTCTGACCAAAAAATCTTATTTGTCTTACAAAACAATATTCTGAATTAAAATCGGAAACTTTTCCCCTTCTTCTTACCTTTTTTGTGGATTCAGGACGCTTTTCGCCAGCGATCTCCCTGAAGGAGAGGACTTACGAAAATTCTGAGTAGACCATTCGACGCGCAAGCATCGATTTACTCTACTAGATTTTTTTCCCAAGACTCGAAACCTTACGGTTCATTCAGCGTCTGTGCGCAAGACCTTGAAAAAGGACAGCCTGACAGTTTTTGTACGGCAGGTGTGTGGTAACACCGATTACAGTTTGTATACGCATACATACATAAATAAAGTTGTATTACCACTTATACATAGTTTAAATCCTATTCACCCGGATTTTCACAGCCCTGTCGATCGTATTAC